AGGTTTTCGCCTAAGCGATGTGGTAGAGGCCCCTCCCTGGTGTTGGGCTGGGGCGTGATGCCTTCCTCTCTCCTCACCTTCGCCATGAAACCTTTAACATGTGCAGCAGTGCAGGGTGTGGGGACCATGCCCAGGCGCCCTGTCGCGAGCACAGTGTCCACCAGATAATCGAAGCCTTTCTCCCTCCCCGCCTGGAGTGACGTTGGGGTCATGGGATTAGTGGGGGCCGGTGGGTGGAGCCACGCCGGTGGAACGAAGTTCCAACCTGGCCCAGCCCAGCACTGCTGCCTGGCTGTAAGGGATGTTGATTTCTTTCCGTTTGGGAGCTCCATGTCTTAAAAGAAATACAGCGGTACAGAGTGTGACCAGGCCCAACTCCCTCCTCCCTCCTCCCTCCTCCCACCCCTGCACCCGCCGGCGCCGGCCCAGAAGGCACCCTGCCCTGAAGTTGGTGCAGGTCATTCCCAAGTGTGCTTATGTGTTAAATACACGTGTGTGTCTGTCTGCAGGCAGTATGTTCTGCTGTTTAGTGTGTTTGAAAATGGACATAAATGGCGTCATGCTGCCTTTTGAAGCAGATTTCTCCTCCCATCGTGTCTGCGGTGATTCCTGTGTGAGACGCGTCCGCTGGCTGAGCTAGGCCTCCCCCGCGGTGGGAGCCTGCGGGTCCTCCTCCCCGGCTCTGCTGTTCCATCGGGGCTCGGGGGTGTCCAGCGCGTGTCCCCAGCTTCCCTTTCTCTCCGGTCACCCGTCTGTCTGCGGCGAGTCCTGCGCCAGGCTGAAATGTCTGCACCTACGTGGGTGAGAGTGTAGCTCAATGCTATTTCATTTAAAAAAAAAATACATTTTTATTGATTTCAGAGAGGAAGGGAGAGGGAGAAAAACATCAATGATGAGAAAGAATCATGGATCGGCTGCTCTCGAGCCCTGACCGGGAATCCAACCGTGACCTCCTGGTTCACAGGTCCACGCTCCACCTCTGAGCCACGCCGGCCGGGCCCTCTCCCCTTCTTAACATGTGGAACTTCCGTGGCCGGTGTTATGAGTGTGGAGCCTACGGAGCTTGAGCAGTGAAACCACAGCCACGCAGGGACCCGCTGACACTCGCTCATGTAGGGGAGCATCGAGGCTCCTCTGTGGTGGTGATGACGGCCGGACGTTCCTGCAGCTCCCAGGTCCTGCGCTGTGCGCGGAGGGAGCTTTCACCCGCGGGTGCGCTGCGGTCAAGGGGCAGCTGTGTGGGCAATGCCAGGTGCTCTTAGCCGCGGTTCCGGGTGGACATGAGGTATTCCCTGCCCTTCGCTCGCGCTGGCCCAGGAAGAGGGGCCGTTAGAGTCTCAGGCCGCAGTGGACGCCGCCCCCGCCCTCCCGCCCAGCTCTGACTCCTGCGGCTCTGCGTCCGGCCGATGGGCCTT